TGTTTAAATAAATCTGTTATGAAACAAGTTATGACAGCCATTGTGAAAATGCATATATTTAAACAACAAATAGAAATGTTATAAATTAGTTAATAAGTTAATTTAAAAACTGCATTATATGCAATTTACATGTTTGCATACATTTTTTTTAAGTTGAGTGTTGATTATTATATTTAGAAATAAATAGTAGCTTAATTGAATTTAAGTTTGGGCTCTGTTGTTAATTGTAACCTTATAGTAATGTAAAAGGGCTCCCTATAGTTTAGAGGATAAACTGAGGTAGATTTTTATAATTATAATTAAAATTAAAGAAGATATTTTTTAAACAAATAATAAAAAAAAAATTTTGTTTAGTAAACCACTGTTTAATTACAAAAAAAATTCAAATTTATGTTTAGTTTTTTCCCCTTGCTGTACTGAAACCATACTAAACCTTGACATCCAAACTGAGGTACATACCAAACTGCCATGTTTCTTTTTAACACCCCTATTTCTATTATGCAATGATGCACTAAAATGATCAGAATTGACAGTAAATACCTTTTTAATATTTCAAAACATTTATATTTCAAATAAATGCTATTCATCAAAGAATCTTGAAAATACTAGTATCACAATTTCCACAAAAATATTAAGCAGCTCAACTTTTTTTCAACATTGATAATAATAGAAATATGGAACAATAGAAATAATTGTTTCTTGAAAAAATCGGCATTTTAGAATGATTTCTGAGGGATCATGTGACACTGAAGACTGGAGTAATGATGCTGAAAATTCAGCTTTGACATCACAGGAATAAATTACATTTTAAAATATAATAAAATCAAAAAAAGCTATTTTACTTTGAAATAATATTTCACAATATTACTGTTTTACTGTTGGAGTTTTGATCAAATAAATGCAGCCTTGATGAGACTTTTTTCAAAAACATTAAAAAATCTTATAGATGCCAAATTTGTGAACACATACAGTATGGAAGTTAAGAATATTTTTTCTTAGAATTATTTTGCTTTAATTGAAGGTTATTTTGGTGAACATCTAGAAAGATGGTAAAAAGTAAAGACTTTTTCGATGGCCTATTTTGCTAATATTTACCAAGGGTGCTAATATTAGTGGAGTACACTGTATATCTAATGGCTATAAAGACAAATCCTATCTAAACTCTGTTTCTGTTTCCATGAGTGGAAAGGTCAGCTGCATAAAGGAAAAAATATCCCTTTCATTTTTCCCTCCCTTTCATTTTTGGGTTCTTTATGTTGGTATCCACAGGAAAAAACTATTTGGATTTTCTCTCAAACTCTGTTTTGGGTGCAGCATGCTGTGCACAGCTTCAACCTGTAAACCTAATGAGCCAGTTCAGCGTGCGTCATCACTACACGTCAGGAGGCATAAAGTTATACATGTGTTCACTCAGCTAAAGCCTGACTCAGGATCAGTGAATAAAAAATGATGCTATCCACAGTACAATAACACTACCTAGGCGGTGCTTCACTGGGGGCAGGTTTACAGGAAGATGACAGACCTCTTTTCTCTGTGTTTTTCTCTTTTGTGTCTGACTGACTGGAACAGGAAGTGGGGGCTGCACTCACCTGACAGGATGGAGGCCACAGCAGCGATGATGAAAGACACAATGACCCCGGGCCCTGCCATTTCCTTAGCCACCAGTCCAGACACCACATACATGCCAGTGCCGACACAGCTTCCCACTCCCAGAGACACAAGGTCCACGGTGGAGAGAACGCGGGGGAGTTTAGTGCCATGAGCCACAGTGCCTCCCGTGCTCTCCAGCATGGACTCCACCGGCTTCGTGCGCAGGACGCGGGACTGGAAGACAAACCAGTTGGCCCCCCATTGAATCCGCCGCGGGTCCAGTTTGGCGAACAGCCCGCTCATCTTGGAGCCTGGTTATGGATCAAGGGGCTGCAAGAAATGGGGCTGATACTCTGATAAGATCTGAAGACGCTTTGGGATTTGGTCTTGTAGTGTAGGGGGTCACACAGAAAGCAGCTGAGATGTTCACTGTCCTTCAGAGGAGCATCATTATCACATGTTTCCACATGACCAGTGAGGGTGAAGGTGAAGCAACACTGTGAACAAAATGAGATGACAACAGTGTGATCTATCATTATCCATGCTTACCTATGCATTTCTTAAACTACATGTATACTACAAGGATGGGTGAAATTGATCAAAAGTGTCAGAAAAGACACTTTTTGTATTATACAAACATTAAATTAACACTGTTTTTATTTAATAAAAAAATCTTGAATAAAATATCACAATATCAGAGTTTCCACAAAATAATTAAGCAGCACAACACTGATAAGAATAAGAATAAGAAATATTTCTTGAGCATCAAATCAGCATATTAAAATGATTTCTGAAGGATCATGTGACACTAAAGACTGGAGTAATGGCTGAGAGCTATGTGGTATATACACATGCATATACACAAATTTTAGTTATTTTAAAATGTAATAATATTTCACAATACTACCAGTTTCTTGGTGGGCATAAAAAAACTTTTTTCAGAAACATTTAAAAATGTTACCATCCCCAAACTTTTGAATGGTAAAATACATTTATAATTTATTACATTTATTAAATACATTTTTAATAATAAAACATATAGCTATAATATCATACATGTTACAGTATATATATATATATGTATATATATATATATATATATATATATATTTATTAAATAATAACACTATAATTTTATAATAATACAGATTAATATTAATATAATCTTTTTCACAGCAGCAGTGAAATAATGCTACATTTTTCATTTCTTATATGCAATTCATATTTTAAATCTATCTACAAAATAATGTATTTTTCACCTGCCTAATTCATCTAAAATATTCTGTTACTTGTTGCTTCCAATACCATTCGTTATCATTCCGTGATTTCTCCCAAAAAGATGCATTTGCTATTGTTCAATTCACTTTTTGAAGCAAATCAAAGGCTTTGACTACTAAAACATTTGTGTTGTAGTAAAAGCCTCTTTATGCTAGCCTTAAGGAAATGTGCTGTATTCACCAGATTTACATTTACCCACCTGATTAAATACTAATGCAGTAGGCAAAAAGCCCTTTTTATCCATCACTGATCTTCGTGAAAGAAAGGCCCGTTAGCTTTGTCTAATACATGAATGAATGCTTTGTACAATGTCAAACATGTAAACACAATATTTTGCTGCCATTGCAGGTCACAAAAAAAAAAACAGATAAGAACTCACTCATGGATGGATCTGCCTGGCAAAATGAGACTTTCATCAGAGAAATTATCAAACAAATCATCTATATGCTTATAATATGTCTCATTCAATTCAAGACAACTCTTAGATTTAGAAACAGAACAGAAACCAAACTATTTATGCCATCTGTTTCCATCATTCAAACAAGAGAGCTTCTTTATAAATGCACTTTCATGATGTCTGGCTATACTGAAGTTTCATTAGTCATTCATTTCCAGTCCCCCTGACAAATCAGGTCAGAAAGATTATTAAATAAATATGAAAAATAAGCTTCAGTAGGTGGTACTAAAAGCAATGGCTTTTTGTAAGAGTTTGTGGTTTTGATATCTTGAGGGACTCTTGATAGAAAAGAGCTGAAGATAACATCAAGACGCATGTTGAACACCAATAAAATGTGCTGATGAGTCCTGGTGTGCAGCCAAATAGGAACAGACAAAGAACTAAACCCAGCCCGTTCATTCCAGCTCTCATCGGCTTCATTTCCTATCTGACATTCTTTCTCCTCTGATCTTTTCTCTCTCAAACTTTCATTCCACCAACTCATTTTTTACACCTCATTTTATAGTCTTTTCCTCTTTTCTTTCACCACTAGCCCAGTTCCTTCCCTTTTAACTCATCAATCCTGTCACTTTGAAGGATTTGGCTTCTCCCAGCTGTAATGATACTCTCTCCTTCATCCCATGTCTAACTGTCTACAGAATGACGGTAACAGATTGCAGTGAAGTCTGTCCATCACAGTGACTAAAGCACATGGCTGCTGACCAAGATAATGATTTGTCTAGGTTTACAACCACACAGCAGGCCACATGGAACGGGACTGTCTGCTCTATAGCTTATAAATGACCTAAATGCATGATAATTTATATTGTGGTTTCTAGAAAAACAATAAACTAAGGTGATGTCCTCCCTGTTGGTCGGCAAATGTGAAAGTAAAGGTTATTTAAAGATTATATGCCATTTCACAGCAGTGTGCAGTATAAAGATAATTTCCAACCTCATATAAAGCATATGTGACCCAGTATAATATCTGAACCTGTCACAGTCACATTACACTGATGTTGTTTGTCTCTTTAGGCTGCTAGAAGAGTATATATTCAAACCTTGCCACTGACCTTATGACACACACACGTATAAACAGTGGCCTGAGGTGCAACACAGAGCATTGGTATAATTCAAAGTGACAAGATGAAGCCATAAACAACCTACATACACAGCTCTGCCTATATATAATACTTTCCACATGTATTTTATGCAACAGACACACAACACAATATATTTCAACAGAAAATCACAGCACAAGGCAAAAAAATACATATAGTCAATGGTTAAGAACATTATATGAGTCACTAACCTTCTCCCTAATATTCTAATGTTCTTTAGATGGTACTTCCTTTAATATGTGTTTACATTTTGTCCATCTAAAATGAGCAATTAAAGAAATTAATTCTTGTTTTAGACAAATCATTGTTAATTGTGACAAACTGCAAAGTTTTGGGAGTGAAAACCCCCAAACTACATGTAACAGAATCACGTAATTTAATTACAATATGAGGTAACACTTTATTTTAAACTTGTTACACATGTTACATGTACTTACTATTATAATAACAATTAATTATGCATA